ACGTATTGTGTACGTTCTATCATTTACATTTCTACATGTCGCAAATTTGAAGTAATACATTTGTAAATTTATCTAAGTTGCATGTTTACAGCTTCAATTTTATCAAATCGAGATAATCAAAATGCTTAATACCAGTGCAGTATGTAACTCTCGGCTCGTCAATTAGATTTTTACGAATCTGTTTAGTAGAACCGAAGTATGCATTGTCAAGTTTCAAAGGCTGGATTTTTGGCGACGAATAGCCTCCATACTGTCGGTACCTGAGTTATACAAATAGAGTGTAAAACTCAAATACAGGAAATAGAGTTTAAGAAAACGTGTTTCCAGTTGTAAAACCACAGTTGTGTAACATGTTAAATATGACAAAAGTAGATTCACAAAGTTAAACGATTTTAATTCATGCATTACGACCCGCCCTTCTTTAAGAATTTACTAACTTCTGTTAAGGAAATGTACGGACAGGTATAAAACCCGGCGTCTCTTCGCTATTTCTCAATATAGTGAAAGAAAACACGATGTCACATTTAACTTTTAAGTTTAAGAAACCGTGTTTCCAGCTGTAGAACTACAGGAGTACGTATACACTGTAACATGTTGAAGTTAAACGTCATGCATGACGCTCCGCCCCACTTTGGGTATTACGAAATGTGCGGACAGGTATAAAAGCCGGCGCCTCTCAAACCGAAACTACTACACCAAAGCGCTTCTTTCTTCGAATTGGGGAATAAAAACACGATACTTGTATACATGGGCATTAAAAAAAGTACTGAGCTTCTTTCGACGGTATCGTTTCAGCGACAATAACATAATAAAATGCGACGATGATATTTGTTTAACTTCCTTGTATTCCATATTTATATCCCAAATTTATCCAAGTATTAAACATAGACATGTCAATATACCGAAAACCACTTGAATGAGGTCGAGGACCATTAAAACCTTGTCCCTGCCAACGCAACAAAATTGAAAACTGCTTCGTTGCATATATCACTTTCAACTGTGTCTCATCATTTTGTACAAATCATTATTTTTACTGGGGAAAAAAACATCCGTTTTAAATTTTAGTAAATAATGCAAAATTATAATTTTGAAGTTGATGGTAAACTCTGAAACGAGTATATAATTGACTTTAAAAAAAGTACATAGATACTGCAATATGAACTTCGTCGTATCCTCAAAACTTCGAGCAAATAAAACAAATTTGTCCGCTTTGAGATGCAAGTTCGCTATAACTTTTACTTTACCAAATAGTTCTTCTATTAAGTACATATGGCAATTGTGCAGCGTGTTAAAACATATATTAAGTTTTGAGTAATTTCTGGCAAAAAGAGTTTTAAACAAAACAATACACTTTTCATTCAAAGATGGCGGCGTTTGTTTACAAATTGTAAATCACGAGGTAGTTTTCATTCACATTCCTGATTTAAAAATATGGTAAGAGGATGAGAACGACTTGCGGTTTGTTAAATTTATCAATATTGACTTTAAACACGAACAGAAGAGCCTCCCACACAAGTCCTTCCATATTGTGCTTTATTATTGATATAAAATATGACTTTTTATGTGTTAAAAATATTGAATGTTTTCAGATATGAAATAGTTGCCGGTAAATTTATTATCTAAGATTTACTTTGTTTGGATGGACTTTTACAATCTTTATCAGCATTTAAGATCGGAGTATATAAATTTATACTATACGTTACAAGTATATCAGTACACACATTTGTTAGATGTAATATTGAAAACAACCGTTTATACACGATCCTGTACCATGTCAGACAAGTTTATAAAGAATTTACAATACATAGAGGATATTTGTTAAGTTCAGTGTAAGATCGGAATATATTTCACCGAGTGAGCACCAAAAGGTATATTTCACGAGTGGCGCAGCCACGAGTGAAATATGAACTTTTGGTGTTCACAAGGTGAAATATATTTCAATCTTACACTAAACTAAACAAATTTTCTTTTTATTATATGCAAAGAAACGTTTTAAAAAGACATTTTACCTAATACTGAATGAAAAGCGCGCCAAATAATAATATAATGTGACGTCATTTACGACGTCACGTCATTAAGTTGGTTCCCAGTACTGTGCACGCTGGTATTTTACTGAAATAACGTAAGGGGCTTAAATTCAAAACAGTGAAATTATCAAAGTGGTAATTTCACTGTTTCAAACAGTGAAATTACCATTTTTATATCACTGATATATTTCTATAAACCACCGAAAAGCATGTAATAAAGCATTATTTTTATGTGATTGAAAACAAAAACTACTTCATAGATTGACACTAGACGTGTATATAGTTTATATATAGATTTTGAACCATATATAAAGTTTTAAATGACTGACACAGTCTTATGAAACATACAGTCAAACTTCAATATCTTTTCGTTCTTTATAAAAATAACGTCGCTGACTGTGGAACATACATTTGGTTCAAAGACCAAAATAACAAATTTGCTTCTTTAAAAAGAAGCATGGAAGAGGTCTTTTTGCAGCTGTTGAAGACTTGCTTCAAATGGCGGGAAAGTAAGAACTCGATAATTCTGATACCAAACTACAAAACCCGGAAAAAACACATTTTGTTGAGAATATATATGACATAGATTGCAAATATACAATGAAATTATCTCATCTGAAATAGTCAAAGAAAGTTGCAATTCATTCCGTTGAAGCCCCAACATCTACTGTGGCCCGAGACCAAAAACAACACATTTCGTCCCTCTGGCAAAAAATACCTGCGAATATACAGGCTAAATAAACACCGTCTCTGCTTTAGCAATACCCTATACATGCAACATATAACAAACACTGGTGCTCAACCGTAGATTTGTTTTCTACTGCTTTAATTTTGTACTCCACCCCTGTAAAATGACTTGTTTTTACCGTGCATGCTTTTTAAAAGCAATGTTTACATACAATGGCGACCTTGAGGTCTATAATCAAAAGCATGTGATTTCAGGCTATGTTTTCGAATTTGCAAGTGATCATATTAGATGGCACAAAAACAATTTCCATGCTGAAAATGCACTTAAAAGACAACCAGTCAATTCAATTTGGAATAGTCACGATACAGAAATCCTCTCTGGCCATTCGAAGCTGTGGCAATAATTTAAGACAAATAATCGTAAATTTTAAATATTTAAATCAATCAATAAAAGTGTCCTTAGTAATGAAATAAAATGAATAACAATTCACAAAGACCTACATACTAAAATCTGGACATCTGTGTGAGGAACAGTAACCGGATATGCCGGATAAAACAGAACACGTTTGGATTAAAGTTAAACGAGCATGAAGCTGTATAATACGTGATAGGTTGTTAAAAGCATGTTGATCTACATGTATGAGTACAATTTTATGTTTCGTTACTATCACCAATAAAAGACAACGGGGAAGATTGGTTCGAATACATCTCACATCATTAACATTGAACAATTCAAGTTTACTGCTAATACAAGTAAATAAGGTAGGAGTCCGTTACTCTCACTCTAAGGCATTACAATATTGTATATCAGTTATAAAACTTTTTATTTCAGATTGCCTTTTAATCTTTTTCATTAATTTTGAATATGAGAAAAAACTCAACAAGAAAGGGTTTCAATAAATGCATCCCCAAACACAATCAGCAAAATAAGCAAGGAATCTACCAGGACAACAAACAATATCAGAAGAGGGCATTATTAGATTTATGGGTTATGAAGCAAGTTTTGCCGTTTTTAGGTATAAAAACACATAGGCAAATTATATATAAATACAACAATGCATTTTCATCGCACCGAGCTGTTTAAATTGCAACATTCATTCGTTACATTCAAACATCCTCCTCTGAAAATACTCCATCAAAGGTGGCTCAATGCTTTAACTTGTCCTTTGATTTAGCCGATGCCAACGTATTCGTCTTTTTGACATATATACTAGGCATGTATACGTTCGCTACGTCCTTGCCGTGTAACTATTGGCATTTTTGCATCATTTTGTAAATGCTGAGCTGAATATGGAGTGCATTGGCATTGTAAATCAGAGCCCGCTAGTTCTATCCTCGGGCAAGCCGAAATGTCCACTGACGGATTACACCGGAAATGAGTCTTAACATCATTTGTCTATCACTGCTGATAAGTAGTCGGTCACTTGCAGATAAATTAGTAAATACTGGTTGGTTACTCGGTTGGATTGATGGATCGATTGCCGAAATATGACCAAACATTTAAAAATGGCGAAGAAAACAACACAAAACAAACAAATATGACGCTAGAAAATTGTATTTCTTGTTTGGTGTAACAGTATTTTCTTCCATTGCCAAATTTCCTGTATATACATGAATGACTTTTCTTTTAAGTCGTTATTTTAAAAGTTTCGACTTCAGCTTGCCTTACCACTTTGTGGTGAACTTTGTCGTCGTGTGCCACTGCGTCATCAATATCGATACCGTATGACATCAGGTTATATGATTGCTTTGAAAACAAACGTTTGTATGATTTTTTTCACCAGTACGTATCATATCCTGTCGTTAAGCATACTGAGTCAATTATGCATTGCAGAGTTATGGTATTTGCAATTGCAAATAAAACATTTTTTTTGTCTGCACTATAGCTTTTTCATTTTTTATTTGATTAAACCAATCTTAAACATTAGGTTTTTGTACCTTACTTGAAAGGACTTCATCGCATTATGTATGATGGGGTTATGACCTCTGGAAGGGGCCAAAAGGGGTATATAGACGTAGGTGCGGACAAACATACAAACTGATAGCCAGACGGACGAGGTTCCCTTCTGCAGACTAAAAATATATTAATAAAGCTGCATATAAATATAAGTCAGATATGCAGTTGTGACTTTGTATACTTCAAAAAAACTATTAATACTCCGCTTATCGTAAGTGTTTATATCGAGTGATTTTATTATTATTATTATTATTATTATTATTATTATTATTATTATTATTATTATTATACATTTAAATAATCTCACTTCAGATTGCATTCATGGTGTTTCTTAGCTATATATTCTTCGCGTAATCTTGGTGTATTTTGGAACAATATATATTTCGGATATTGTTTTATTCGCAATATTGTCTTTCATTTCTGACTCAACGTCTGCAAGTAACCACAATATGAAAACATTAAATCAATAACAAATGTATTAAGTATTTGCGTGTATCAGAGAATGCATATGGTCGCAAATAAAAACAAATCATTAAAAAGAGACAAATAAAGTTAGTATCAACAAATAAATAAAAACATATATTAGTAAATTAGTATACATAGGTCAAAATACTATTTTATTTCTAAAAAGTAATTAAAAAAGTAAAACAAATGTCCGCCATTTCATAATTGCAACGTTCTGTCCGGTCCGAGCGTTATGTATTTATTTAATGATAAAGAAATTTGAAATTAAACAGCGAAGACAAAAATATTTCAAAAGAAACCTAATATTGTCTACTAGGTTTTTCAGGAGATCTCCTTGTATTAGCATGTCTTTATGGCGAGGCTCGGGTGAAGAAACCAAGACGATTTGCTTTCTTGGAAAAGACATTTACAACAGACCTCTATCCAAGAAAGAAGCAAGCTTTGAAGAGTTTTGCTTCCCAGGAAAAAAACACATCTAGGAGCAAGTTTAAGAAAGGTCCACTTCCAAGAAATAGAAGCAAGACATCCTTGATCATCATATCAAACGTAACAAATACATGATAAGATATTGTAAAAGCAAATCAGTCCTAACTAGTTTAATGATTATCCATGCCTAAAACACCAACATTATTCAAAAGATATATAGTTCAGTGAACAGTTATAAGTCATATGAAATGAATCTGTTTATTTCTAGTAACCAGCAATCCAGTTTCTATAATTCTGTTTCAGAATCATTCCTTAAAAATGATTATTGTCAATGTCTTTTTCTGTAACTCCTTTAGCCGCTAATTGTGTTTTAACTACATCAATATATTCAGGGTCAGGATATCCAAATCTGAAATTATTTGTAAAAAAGATGTAAATGTATGTTTTGCGGGAAATTAATGATAATCATATGTAAAAATTATAATGCAGAGACAAAATGTAATCAAGACAAAGGCATATGAGAAATGGTAATTATAATCTGAATAAGAATAATGTTATAAATAACATCCTATATTTTAGAAAATTATCAATTAAAATATGCAAAATAAGAATCCTTGATAAATTAACCATCCTATAGTTCTAAAACTAATGAGTGCGTGCATATGGTGATGACTACTACTTTTTTTAAACAAAAAAATATGTAATTTTGTATTTGCTGAAGTTATGAACAACACTGTATAATTATTTGATACATGTGAAACACTTCTTACTCAGAGTTTGGTGTTAGTACTGTTTTATGAGCAATACCATTCCATATTATGACACCATCCCTTCCTGTAGTCAATGAGGTGCCAATGGTAAATACAAGTCTTCTTTCAAATGCTACCCGCAACAATTTTGCTATTTTTCTCCCCTCAGCATTATTTGGAAGATATGCTGTTCGTAAAGTGCCTTCATATTTCCTTCCCGGACAAGGATGTTCTCCCTTTGAATTAAAATATTTAATAACAATAAATCTATGTGTAAAAACATTTTATTAATATACCTATTAAGTGAATATTTTATCTAAACATCAATACCAAATAGAAGGAATGAAAAGAAAAAACAAAAATACTACAGACTTTTAAAGTATCGCAGACATAAATATTTATTGATATTTTAATTCACGTGACTGACTTATTTCCATTATCTGCCTGAACTGCCTTTAACAATCTTTGTATACTCATCATAAAAAATAAAGATTTTTAGTATTATTATCGGACTGTATACCCCTTGGTGTCCATCTGGAAATCTGTATTTGATTTCTATAGTGCCACAGTTCTTATAACCTGCACAGTCTGAGCTAAGTACAGTTGTAGTCATGGTTCCAGGCGGCTGGTCACCTAAATATCAAAACAAATACCAAACAAATATAAATGAAAAAGAGAAACATTATGGAACGCCCCAAGCAGCAAAATCAAAAATGTTGCAGGTTAGTTTGATTAAAGATTTGGTTTATGGTTGTGGTGACTACAAGCTACTGTTCATCATGTTCATGCCCTAAACATGCATTGGCTGAATCAGAAACAGTATTTAGAAAAATGAGGACATTTATATTCAAAGTAAATCAATTCAACTCCATAACAAACCACAGAAATGACTTTTAACCATCTAGATGATTTTAACAATGTTTATATAACGTATCCTTTCTTCAGTATATTTTTCATTTGTCAATGATAATAATAAATATTTACATTTATTTCTATGTAAATTGGATTCATGTTTTGATATTTACTTTAAAGTAAAACATTATTGACAATATTGTTTGTGTTTGGAATAATTTAAAGGACGTCAACGTTACCTATTAAAATATCAAGAGGTTCATTGCATACAGGACATGAATATTTATACTTGTGATGTTCTTTAATGCAAGTTTGACAAAAGCTGTGTCCACAACGTAGCTGTTTCTGGTCAGATATAGAACCTAAACATATTGGACAATTTTCTCTTTCCCCCTGGATAAAACAATAAAAAATATCTTTCGAAAATACACGTCACATTTATCATATTAATTAACAAATTATTCTTTGTGTTGACGTAATGAAATGAATACAACAAACGAAATAAGCTAAAATATAAAACTAAATTTAAATCTTAGGATAATGCAAATCATAATTTAGACACAGTTCTCTGATTCAGCTTGTGATGATAATAACAGATCTTTTTCACAATGCAGTCTGAAAATTAAAGACGACTACTAAATAATAGCCACTTTACATAAAAAGTGATTTACCTTGAAAGAACAGTTTCTTAATAGAATCGAAATATGTTCATTCATGTTTTTGTGTATTTTCAAAATATATTGTTATTGTAATATGGTAAAATAGCATTTGAGTACTAGTTATATATAAATAAACAGTGTTACAATTATACATCATGTAACACAATTTCTATGAAGAGACACAGTGTACAAATCTATTTTACTTTTCTTTTTTTTTTATTTATTGTTTTCATTTTGGAACCGTTGAATTAAACAATGAACTACTTTACTTAAACTTAATCTGATTTTATTGAATAGGTTATAAACATAATCAAAACATTTGTGAACAACAAACTACCAACTATTACTTAACATAACGAATGTTGCTCTGATGCACTTATTTATATGATGTAGCTGAAATCATACCAAGTTATCTGTTCCAATTTCATGTAAAGTTTGCCAATCACTTTTTTTCGGATTTTCCCTAGATTGAGACAGTTCTTCAAGAATTATTCTTTGCTCTTCTAGAAGTGGATGACCTGTGTTAATATTGCAAAATGTATTGTGAAACATTCTTAAACAATTTCAGTTAAATAGAGTAGAATATGTGGCTTTTAAATCTAAAAAGTGTTTACGCAGGCAGAAAATGAGGATGTATGGACATTCCATGCCAATGTTAATTGAAATTAACAGTTAAATTTAAAAGTAAGCTCCGACATTTCTTTCCTTGACAAATATATCGAATAATAAATTGTGTAACATAATCGGTAATATATATTTAAAGGGACATATTTTAGTATGGCAAATTTGAAAGGTTTTGAAATACTTATAATCTGACAATCTTTACAGACCAAATGATGGCTTCACACTGAAATGATATCACCGTGAACGAGTTATCGTGGGTTATAATAGGAGGATCTTGATATGGAACAAGAGTAAACTAGGCCAAAGCCTCACGAGGCCTTGGAGCCTCGAGGATCCTTCTATCTTAAATATCAATGACAGCTAAATATTATTACCAGATTATAGACCAATGTACTATAATAAAACGCTATCATTATATAATTCCTCGAACTTTAACAACTGAGTCGACCCAGACGCAATTGTATTACAACATCAATGTCATTCCACTTAGCACTTTTGTTAGAAAACGATTTTCATTATTTCTGGTTTATATTTGATCATGTTTTGTGCATGTGATACATGCATTTTTTTTAGACAAATAGGTACTGGTATATAATAGAGGGTAATATCTTAATATTTCAGTAAACTGCAAATCAAATGGTCGAAATATGTTAAGAGCATAAGTCTTTGAACGTTTGAATAAAAGGATTTGATTATCGAAACAAGTCTTTTTATATATCTAAAGCTAGATTACCTGATTAGTTAATCTGACTAATAAACAAGAATGTCTAGATTTCGTACAAGACAAACGAAGGTTGTATGATAAGTTTACGGACGAAATGACAATGTAATTAGAAGTATTAGCATTCATATACCTACAAAATATAGATCTATGTGACAAAGTACGAAAATCAAGTTATAAATACATCAAATATTTTACAAATATTGTGCGACGGTAGCGAGTTTATACATATCTTATCTACAGTAAATGTGGTGGTTTTGATTATTGGTGTTGCTTTGAAAGTTGTAACACGCGAGGTAAGATAAATTCGTATTTCAAGTTTCGGCGCCATATGACCAATACTGTGTAATTCTGCCACCAAACCAAACAAACAGACATATAATAGTTGTTTAAACACATAACCGTATCCCAAAGCACGACGACATAGAAACACGTCAATACGACATCATATAAAAGAAATTACGTAAGCTTACTTTTCGAAATAATTGCCAGTCATACGGACAGACTTTTCATGACTGAAGTTCGTAATGTTTCTCGTACAAGAAACAACAATGCGGTGAGAACACATTTTGAATCCTTTAGTTGCTGCTTAGGGGCCGGATATACTCGATAGTCCACTCGTGGCTAGGACTACAAGGAAGTTGAACAAGCGTTTCAAATTCTTGAAGACTTAACATTCTTTAACTTTGGTTCGTCTGCAGTTTTTCAAACTGAGGACTTTCTCTCATATTTTGGGCCATAATACCGCGACCATATCTCGTCTGTGGTAACAATCTGATTCATGAATTCCTCTCCTTTGATCGTTATGCCGACGCTCACTGCGATCAAGTGCGTGTTTCCAAATCACTCTTGGCGTCTTGACTATTCTAAGAGGGATGTTTAATATGAATGCAACTAGGCCAATATCTCGCTTTTAACAACGTGTTGCACAAGCTATGTACATGTATCGCATATATGGTTTAGTAAGCTCTCAACTGATACAATGCATGTGTAAATCAGTTCAGTCTAACTTAGACAATAACTCGATTAACACTATCTACTCATGAATACTAAAGCTTATAGGGACTCCACTGAGGTTTAAAAGCCTAAAAACATAACATTAGAATTACTTACATAAATGAACTGGGGCGCTTTAAACAGACATAAATGCAAAGATAGTTAAGAAATATACTTTAAAATAAATCGAAAATCGTAGTGTTATGCTTTTCTTAGCCTAATTTGAGTGAAAAGCGCTTTTCATTTTGGGTCATTTTTACAATTTGAATAATTATTATGGAAAAACGAAGTGCGCGAATGATCTGAAAGTTTGCACAATGATTAGTGGTCTACACCCACATCAAATGGTACATTTATCTGGAAAAAAATATTTTCAGTCCCATAATGTCAAAAAAAACCTCCTTTAAATGGTTGGAAAACGGTATCTTTTCAATAACCAAATACGGTCCTGTATTCTTTGTATACAGTCGAAAACCATATTTATTGAAATATGTCGTGTTTATTGGAACAATGAACTTTCTTTTTCATCTGTCACACGGTTGTGTAAGAACTTTAAAAGTGGTGTGGATTCAGTAAAAGATGCACCTCATGCACACCATCCGAAAACTGCAACTTCGCCAAATATGGTTGAAGTTAAGGATTTCATTGATACTGATGCAAGATTTGCAACTAGGTACACAGCCTAATGTGTTGATCAATATCTCTGTAGGAGCCGCTAATACTATTCTCAGAAGTGATTTAAAAATGAGAAGGGTAAGTGCCAGATCGATATCCCATCTCCTTACAAAAGAGCAACAAAAACTTGATCGGGTAAGAATCCCTAAACAATTGTTGAAACAGTTCCTTAAATACAACAATCGACCTTTCGCAAATATCATCACTGGCGATGAGACGGAGGTTCATTTTTATGAGCGCAAGCGAAAGATACATAACAAAATATGGGCAACCAAAGGAAGTTAAAGACCCTGCATAACAAAACGCACCATGATCGTCAAAAAGGTCATATATGTATTTTTCTTTACCAATCAAGGTCCTGCTATTCAAATTGCCGTTCCAAAGAGTGAATCTGTAAATACCAAGTTTAACAAAGGGAAGGTCTTTCAAAAGTTAAAGAAATATTTCAAAAACCGTCGACCAGCAACTGGTCTCTGGTTGTTGCATGACAATGTTTCGACGCACAAAGCGGCCATTGTAACATGAAAAGGTTGTCGAGCTTTCATACCCTCCTTATTCGCCAGATCTTTCCCCTTATGATTTTTTTCCTATTTCCGATGCTGGAAGAAAATATCATACGCGAAAAAATCTCGGTTCGGCTATTTTCCAGTGTCTAAAAAGTATGCCTCGAAAGGATTATGAAAACGCATTTAAAATTTGGATTAAAAGACTAAAACTTTGTATATCAAAGAGTGGTGAGTATTTCGAAGAATTGAGATAATTATTTTGGCACTGTTTGTTAAGCACTTTTGAAAATTGACCCAGTTGCATTCAAATTTGAACACCCCTTCATTAGTACCTGTTTGTGCAGCAACAACTTGCATCCACAGCATACAACGATCACATATCGTTAGTGCTCTTGAAGAAAATACTATGATTACGTGTTACATTCGAAATGTTCATGGAAATTAAGATAAATATATTTTTCCAGAAAATATTTTATAAAAAAAAATAGAAAAAGAAAAAGTTAAGTATGTAACTTTGTAACGGTGAATAATTAAAACAAAAACTTGTAAAAAATAGCAACAATTATAACCAAAGCCAGCGAACTCGTACAGCTCTCGGATAATAGCATTTCCTTAATTATGTTCTAGATATGCTTTTACCTTTAGGCAGCTGTAAAATGTCCAAGTTGTAATCACTATTTAAGTCCACCGGAAGTGATTGATGTTGATCTTTTTGAAGTAGAACATCTGCTTCAGTACTAGAATCTATTCGCCTCTTCTCGGAAAATGTTTCCCAACCTGATCGAGCTTGCAAAAATTTCGCCTCTACGTAACTTTTAGTCGGAGGTTCCTTGAATTTAGTCAGTTCATCAAAGAGTCGTCTTTGCTGTTCAAGAATTGGATGTCCTGTGTTGATATTACAAATCAGATACACGTGTGTTGATCTTAAGATCTAATTAATTTGTGAAATTACTGACCGGTTACTTTATCATTGCATTGCCCAACAAAAAAGTAATTATATTGCGAAATATCTAAAAACAAAGTAAACTTCTTGTCGATCACTTATAAATTTTAAAGAAACTTTCAACGATTTTATTATATGTATTTATATTGTTCATTCATGTCAACTCAATTTTTACTTTAGAGACCAAATGGCGGACAAAGATTGAAATGACCTTTGAGTGTCATGTTGTAAACAAACAAAAAATCGTGTTAGAATAATTCAAAACCGGCTCATTTAATGCAGATACTTTTCACTAAACCGTCAAAACTCCAGAAGAACTTATTTTCCTTGACATTTGAATTAAATGATTCAAGAACGTTATGAATGAGACAATCGTTTTGTAATATCTTTACTTCATGTATCAGTTACTTAAATAAATATACCTAAATGATTGTGCTACACAGATGATAGACAATTAGTTTTTAGTATAGTTCCAAATATATTTCTTTACCTTCATACACTTTTGAAGTTTCAAAGCTGTAATCGTCACTCAAAGAACTGCTTTGATGTGATTGCTATGGTTTAGTATGATTATCCTCTTCTCGTGTGTCGGTAAAACCTCGTTGATCTTGCCATAATTTTAACCGTTCCATATTTTTACTTTGGTTTTGAAATTTCTTTAAAATGATAAAAAAAATATAATGAAATGTTATAGTTAGTAACTTAACGAACAAAACAACACAAACAGCAATGCAAAATAATATAACACTGAAGAACCAACAAGAACAAGATAACGCTACTAATAATACAATGACTTCGAAGGCTGTGTTTAAATTAAGTTCTAATAATGAAAAGATATTGAACGCATTTAAACACCCATACTTGAATATTGAATGGAAATATATATTTTTATGTTACATTCAAAATTTGAATGATATATTGCAAATGCCTGTCAGATACAAGTGAAGAGCGTGAAACAAAAACCATATTATTATGTACATGTGAATTTAATTTATAGATTTCATGTACTGTTATATTTTTATAACGATGGATATCTAAGGAAACTTATGGCACATACCTCGTATTGGAGTTTGCTTTTTTCTGTTTCTAGAAGTAAATGAAATGGATCAAATGATATTTTGTCGAAACGAATGGATGAAATCCCATTACAAAGAATTTCAATTATCAAATGCTAAAATTTATTTGATGCATTATCAATGAACGGAAAGTAATATAACTACATAAAATATATACATAAAACATGTACTATTTCTTTGACATTGAACTATTTACGCACTCTCTTTTTTACATAAATAAAAATGAAATGCAACTTGCCCTGAACATTTACATTAAATTAGTTACCGAGAAGAAATTGGCATCAAAGTATTTTCTTTTATGTAAATGTACCTCTCTAAATAGTTTTATGCAACAATTTAAGTTCATTGCATTGTGTATTGCAACTTTATATTCACTGATATAATAGTTAATATCAATAGAACAAAATACAGCAGTTAAACATTTGCAAATCTAATGTAAGAATACAGTAACTTGCCAATTTCCATACTGCCATATCCATCAGATCCCTTTAGTTCTGTAATTCAGTAACACAATGATAAAAGAGCAAAAAAGTTATTCAAAACATTGACTTCATTCTACGCAATGCAAAAATGCCATTTGATAATGGAATATTGCAACACATGTCATGATGTTTTAAATACTAAAGGTATTCAATTCAATTATTCTGAAGAAACAGAAAAATATAACACAAATGAAAAAAGAACACGAATTCTTGAAAGGGAATAACTCTCGCGAGCAATGAAAATAAAAAATACGAGTTTGGTAAAATTGACATTAATATTCAAATATTGAAATATTAAAGTATATTGCTTAAGTTTGCAGTCCATGTTTAGTTTAAACATACAGAAGATAAAATTGAAACTTCTTATATGAATAATGTAAGATTAAAACATCATGGTAACCCACCTTCGCTGAAACTTGCATAGCCCTCTGATGAAACTATCACATCTGTAATATTAAAAGTGTCCCATATTTGAATGTTTTTAATGATTGATTATTGTTTCAGTACTACTAGAAATCACACAATTCAAATATAAAATAAGAGCGATAAGTGATCAAAGCCAATAATGCAGTTGTATTGAGAGGTGATTGAACAGCTTGTTGGTAATGTAAATTGATTGTTAGGATGTTTGATTTCTTTTGTAATGAGGAGAAAGTAAGAATTACCCAACTTATGCTGCTGAACTTTGTAATTTTTGGGATATCATTATGTTTAATGGACGAACTTATACAATTTTATACAGAAGGATGGATGATGATATGTCGAAGGTAATGTGTAGCACGCGACACAAAATCGTTATATGACCAAAACTCCTTTTTTATTCAAGGGTCGTAACTCAACAAAACTAATCATTTAACCGAAACATCGATCAATCTTTAACATGTTATTAAAATTGCAAAAATAGCAGAATAAGAGTAGTAGTTCAGACAAACTTAAATAATGAAAATGGTTAAAGGGCTTTCACTCTGACGAAAATCATTGAACTTGAAAGTGAAGATGATAATCGCAACTAGACTTGTTAATGATTATTCATGTAAAAATGGAAAATGGAGGACATTGCACCAGCCGGTTTTTTGTTGGTTTTTTTTTGTTTGTTTGTTGTTTTTTTTTAAAGAAGTCGGGATAACTTTTGTGAGCATCGGACAGACGAAATACGGATTAGCTATCCCTATACTTCGCAGATACCTACCAATCATGAAACATTCATTCAAATTGCTTTAATAGTATAAAGGAATTAGTCCGGACAATCCTAAATGTAAAAATCATTAAATAACTGACAACAACTGGTAAATGCCACCTATATGAACAACTAGATTTTGTACTGACATTTCCTGAAAAGTTTATTTAAATTGCACCAACAGTTTTGATGACTAATTCGGACAAGTTTTGTGAATGACGGACAGACGGACGTTCTACCAAGACAGTACTTTGTGTTTATTTTATTGATATCTACATTGTTCTTTCATTTATGCAAATCAAAGCTTACAGTATGAATAACATAAAAGAAAAAGTACAGTTACTTATTGCCCCTGTAGTCACCAAAAGTACCTCCCATATGTCAGAACAGACAGACTGACAGACAGAAAAACGACGGAGAAATGATATCTATACGTCACAGCTACTCTGTAACAGGTGACACGAAAGGTATATCATTGAAAATTCCTAACAAATAAAAAGGTAATACCTTTAATATCCGACTGCTTTTTGCAAGACTGTATTACCGAAGTTATATCTTCCACCAGTGGTTGCGATATATCATTTGTTGAACATAATTGAACAAATGCATGTTCCTCAACGTTAATTGTCATCTTTCCGCCATACATTTCGTATAATTCTTGTACCTTGTTCTCCCAGAGTTCAAATTCGCGTAATGGATTAGAATGGCCTCTAAGACTTATCACACTCATAACGACCGACGTTTTGAAAATATTGATACAATATGCAATATCATTTGATGCAGGACAACAAACAACCAGATATTGCCCGTTCCGGATATTCCATTCGACATCTCCAACATTTTCTTTTCTTAATCTCTCTTCAACATAATTTATTGTTTCCTGTTTCATTAATAACTCTTTCTCCTGCGATGACATGCCTTCGATGACAAAGCACACAAATTTGTTTTTCATATCAAACAATTGTAATTTTGCCTTTTCAATATCGGATTTCATACCTTTCATCGTGATTATGCTGTTTATATTAGAAAGGGAAATTTCAACATCTGGAACTTTAATGTGGGCGATCTTTTTGTAACCCATTTTTTGCAACATTTTCACTTCAACACTGTCAAATAATTCAACTTTTTCTTCTATTCTCAAATCTTCAGTTTCTGTTGCAGTTGTGTTCATAAACTCAACAATAGTCTTTACAGTCTTAGTTTCACCAATCAGAGTTACAGTGCTGTTCTTTTCATCGGCGATGTACGTAATATTTTGGTCTGTTTCACGTAGACTCATGTTGACAACCCTTACAACGGCTGAGCTTTGTTGCACAGAAATAATGGTTATACCATCCAAACATTTTTGAAATACGTCTTCAGCATTCTTTCCCCATTTCCTCACTAACCGATTTGATTTAATTGCATTTGGCAATATTGTACAATTTATCTCTACCTTTCCTTTCTGTATACGTACTATCTCTGCAAAACAAGCTTGCATGTGTCCATGTATAAGCTTTCCATATGGGGGGTCTCTTTTGATAAACTCCAGTTTATCATTATCAATGCCAAAAAGTGTTACAGGGTCAGGTACAGACAAGTCGAATGCATCCTTTTCTGTAAGCTGTAAACACTCATAGAATAAGCTCACTTTCAGTGTTTCTATATCAAGCTGGTGGAAGTGTTCTAGAACGTCGGCTACAGCTTCAAAAAATGTCGAAAATTGATTAAATAAGCATTAATTAAACAAAAGATTTTTTTTTGAAATAGTCAATAAGATAATGTTAACTTCAAGGATCATTAAAGAACATGACTTCAACCTGAATAAACATGCATTGGTTTTTATAACGCAAAACTAGTATACTAGAACATCAATTGGCTTTCGCATGTCCAAACAAGAGCCGTTTAAACCGGATAATGCTCCCCGACACAGAAAAATATTTATCATGTAGTTTTATAATTATGTCCAGGACAAGGTTAAAAGTGCAATAATTCCAAAACTAGGCACAGCAGATTTACTGTACTTTGCATTGCACTTCTATTCAAAGAGATCTATCTACAGAATTAGTTTCTTGTTGATACCTTTCGCTCGTTGTTTCACAGTTATGTCCCGTACAAAGTTCATTGTAAAGTTGACAAATGCAATAACTGCAAAAATTAGGCAAGGCGGTTACGGTTCTTTTGTAATGCTCTTCTACGGCGAATATTGTACAATTTATCTCTACGTTTCGTTCTGTATACGTACTATCTCTGCAAAACAAGCTTGCATGTGTCCATGTATAAGCTTTCCATATGGGGGGTCTCTTTGATAAACTCCAGTTTATCATTATCAATGCCAAAAAGTGTTACAGGGTCAGGTACAGACAAGTCGAATGCATCCTTTTCTGTAAGCTGTAAACACTCATAGAATAAGCTCACTTTCAGTGTTTCTATATCAAGCTGGTGGAAGTGTTCTAGAACGTCGGCTACAGCTTCAAAAAATGTCGAAAATTGATTAAATAAGCATTATTTAAACAAAAGATTATTTTTTGTAATAGTCAATAAGATAATGTCAACTTCAATGATCATTAATTAATGAGATCTATCTTCCTACCTAGTTTCTTGCTGATATCTCTCTATGTTTTTCAGAGCTATGTCCAGGACAAAAGTCAAAGTGCAAGTTAAGTAATTATCTCATATAAATTTCTAGTAATGCTCCGTTCAAGTTATTTTTTAATGGGAGATGATTCAAGAACGGTGCAAAATAGAGTTATGGTTCTTTAGCACTGCACTCCGCCTCAATGCCCACTACCACTGTGTGCAGTTTAAACAAATTATATCCAATGATTTTCAGGTTATGCTGCGGACAATATTTTCTAAAAGGGTAAATAATTCAAAACGGGGCAAAATAGAGTTATGGTTCTTTGGTAATGCACTCCATCTCAATGCCCACTACCACTGTGTGCAAATTATGTCCAAGGGTTTTCAAGTTATGCTCCGGACAAACACAAGGACGGACAGACAAATAAGGTGGCGGCTATACCGCCATATGCTCACCCTTCGAGGAGCATTACAGGGGGAAAAACTAATTCTCTTTAATTTATCTACTAAGAACGCATGACTTCACAATGAATCAGTGCAATTAACGTAGAACTTAGCCTCCGTATTCTTAATTGATAAGCAAATTGTAGCCAGAATGAATATTGACTAGTCTACACGTTTATACTAAATTTTAATCTAATATATAAAATCTTTAAAAAAATGATTTGCGCGAAAACTTTCATTCTATATGCAAATTGCACTTTAAGTAAACACAAAGTAAAATTAGACCAATCACCGACATGGACCGGTGTGTTTTATATTGTAAAACTTCATACAAAATATTAATTCAATTGCCGATGTTACAAACCTTTTCATACAGCATTTACATTTGAATGTGACTGTCTAAAGCCATTTACTCGAGCAACGTATGTGTAATATTACATGGTTGTATATCAAGTAAAATATCCAATTAATACAGTCTTTCACATAAAGTACGCGGAACCATTGAAATCAAAATACAATTTCCTAATACAATGCACATAATTCAGTACTAAACTTAAGAGAGTCTGACCAAAAAAAAGATTTCAGTCAACATTTTGATTATTAGGGTAGTATTGCTGTAACGATTTCCCACCAAAGAAATTCTAAGACCGGCCTATATCGTAACAAATCGGTTACTTCTGGAACGTATTTTTTCAAAATCTTTGGCATTGAAGTACTTACAATCACTTATCCCTTATCGCTATGTACTAAATTCCGATTATAAACGGTTAAAAATTATTGAATACCTAATATTGTGAAAAAATATCATTCAAGAAATGACCGATTTTTTTTACGATACTGGCCAACGTTAGGAACTTTTTGGCGAAAAAGCATTACAGTATGACTACCTTAAAACATATATATATATTATTTTAGATATAGACCATTTTCCCAAGTACACAATGTATAGAATGTGCGCCATTACATTTTACTTTAAACTATTTTAATATTGAACAGGTCATATAAAACCAATATATTCGTTAATAAGAGTAAAGAAAGTTTTAAGCATCATTAAAAAATCTTAATTAAAACGAAAACATTCTTACCAATTTTATCCTTAAAGTATACAAGCGCCGATAAACCCTCAATTTTGATGATCTTTTCAACCAAGTCCCCACCGCTTCTCACTTTATTTTCAAAGTACTGTTCTAATAATTCAGAAGTGAAGTGGTTTGGAACATTTTCTACTAGTATGCAATTTGAAATTGCAACACTGCAGACATCTAGATGGACGCCATCGACAGTATGAACTTTACAGACTTCTTTTAACTCCGTAATGTCTGAAATGGAAAATTACAATACAGTTATAGTAATCAAGACAGTCTTTTTATAGATAAAACAATTGTATACGTTCATTTAGACAGCGAATTCCGTTTTTACAATATGTAAATCGTAAGCTGTAAAATAATTGTGAACATCTCAAAACATGTTAATGTATATAAAGGTTTGTCATAATACTTTTATCAATTTACCTGGCATTGACTCCATTTCAATAAGAGCTGTGTCGTCATTGCTTTTATGGTATGCTATCCTCATTGGTTTAATTCCCGTTGTTGCCTCCAGAAAATGACTTATATTATCCTCCGACGTTGATGATGAGATACCTTTTAAAAGTATTCTATCTCTAAAATATATCTCTCGCACACTACACGTATATAGCGAAACCTCCAAAAGCTTTCCATTGATAACATGTGTTCTCATCAGCATCTTCTTTGCAACTGTATATTATGGAATGTAAACTATGTAATCTGAGAAATCGAGTATCGATTTTACTTTAACTTTCCTTATCTCAAGGAATAAGAAATGAAAAATCATTTATCAATTTATATCTGTAATGCTTGTTCAAATATATCTTAGTGTAATTTTGTGGTTATCTGTTAAAGCTTTTCAAACATCAAGCAAATTTCCGTGGATATATAGTCAATTACATTTATAATATAAAATAAACATATACCGAAATCAGTTATATATTGCGAAAGAATAATAATAACTCAATGTAATTTAGATTATTATTTCATGTTATATGCTTTTTTCAAAAACCTGGCAGGAAAGACGTTTACAACATATTAACATTTTCATATAGGATCTGCCATCGTAATGGCCTTTTTAAAGCAATCCAAAAGGATTTTAAAAAGGAGTACTTTTAAAAATTTTATTTTAAAAAACCTCTAAACTAGGTGTATTTGTAATATCATTGAAAAATATATAACCACAAACCTTCTTCTGTTTCAAATGTCACAAGAACTGAATTTCTTCCTCTATCATACAAAATTTTCATGACAGCCCCGACGTTACTGAAATGACTCTTTAACAATTCGATGTTTCCTTCACAAACAATTTGTGTTGGTCCCCGTACTTCTACTGTACGTAATTCTGGTTGATATAGCACAACCGTAACAGCCTGGCCCATCATTTCAATGTTTCGTCTACTCAAAACAGTTTCAACTCCTGTTGAGTACAGAAAAAGTTAAGAAACATAAATTACTTTAGAATACTATTTGTTTTTTCTAAGTCGGTTTGATATTCAATATTATGGCAAAATATTTGTAATCAAAGCAATTCTACTGAACGCGAAGGATTGATCAGTAAAGAAATATTGCATTTTAACGTGTTACATTAAATGAGTTAAATGAACATGACGGAATGTTTTAAAAACAGACATATTTCATGTTGCCAGTCCAAAGTCGAGAATGGTTCAAACATCCCCACCCGCTCACCACCACATAATTTCAACTGAACATATTATTTTTTTCTTCCGGATGTAACAGTAAAACCTTCAGTCTCACGAAATAGTGATTTACCACTTGTACGTTTAAAACCATTTTATGCATGTAATGGTGTAGTTTATTTCTGTGTCAGCTGCACGGGAGGCTCAAAACATATAACTAACAACTGTCATCAAGAGTTATTTCCAGGACTATTTACAAACGTACATGTATTATCAGCTAACTTGTTACTGGTATATTTTCCCGCAACAGGCTAGGTCAACAAAATATTCAATGTTTTCAAAAACAGAGAAATTCTTCTCCACATGTCTTGTGGTTTTTAAATATAGACAACTTCTTAATACACAATTGTTTCAAAGCAACGCAATACCTTCTGGTGACTCGAATTCAATAACTGCTGTAGATATATCGTTGTAAAATGAAACTTTACGCACGGGTACTCCACCACCTTTTCTTTTATTTTCAAAGAACAATGTCAAAAAGTCAGTGGTTACATCTGAGGGAAGTCCGCAAACTTTGATGCGTGTTGGTTTTCCTTCAGTATATATCGCTTCGTGTTGCTCTTTCTGAATCCTTTAACATAAACAACAATTTGCCAGAAAGATATATATCTAATCGATGTTCAGAAACAAACGAATCAAGACATTTAAATGTTTTACTAGACCATAATTTTCATGCCGCCTTATCGAAAGAACAAATGAATTGTGCTGTTCTGATATATATTTTTAAGGAAAATAGGATATGGCAACAGTAGGTGGCATTTAACACAATGCATCGTATACTGTCTAAATATAAATTCTAGTTTCGCAAGAAAATTGGACAACGAAATGATGAGCCTATTACTATCTGAAATATATTAATGATTAAATAAATGTTTGGGATACTTTATCAAATGTGTTGTGTTGATTTTTAAAATTTCTAAATCAGTTTTAATGTTAAAGTTATTCCATAACAAGCAATATCTTTACCTATGAGAGCATAATTTATGAACAATGATTACTTATATAATATATTATCAATAAATTATGGACAAACTTGGTAAACTGATAAATGATTTTAGATTAAGATTATCATTATCTAATTATTTCAATAGTAAAGGGTGTTAATTTAATTATTAGGTTCAAGTACAAAATATATTTGAATAGAAGTTTATTCACCTTTCAGCGTTGATGACATCATCCTTGCTACCATGCTTATCTTCATCTAAATGTCCTGCAAAATTAAATGCATGATCATAAAAAAGAATATTCTCCAAAACCGATGAAAAACACATAACGACATAAATATTAGTTTTTATATTGAATATGAACGAAAGTCCAGAAATAAATTATCAGTGTATATTTGACTTTTTTTTAACAATGTTCAATTTCAGAAATGTTTGCTTAGGAATAAAAAAAATGGAAACATATTCCCTAACATTTTAGGGAATAAGAAAGCCTTTCTCGATAAAATAAAAAATGTCATCAAACTACTTACTAAGGTTCCACAAAAGATTTTTCAAGTCACCAAGTGCTATTTGCGACGACAAATGAAAGCGTGCCTTGTATGTTATCTCTAACGCTGCAACTAGTTCATGAAGGCGTCGCTTAAAACGGCTTCCCTCAAGGTATTCTAGGAGTTCGAGTAATCCCTGGCAGTTGTTGCACCTCATTTTAATGACTATGCATTGTTGGTCAACACCTAAAACTTTGACTTTATTGCAACTCTCTATCTCTGATAAGATAACATTTATAGCATGTCCTATTTTTGTCAAGTCCCTATCGCCTCCAGTTCTTTCTAAGGCAGATCTGAATAATCGTACGAGAGATTCTTCGGCCATGTTTGTTAGGTGATCATTTGGTCCTCGAAGTTCCATCTCCGTCCCAACCACTGTAAAATGCAAATCTGTATGATATTTTAGAACATCTTGATGATATAAAAACGAGATGAAAACCCAATGTACTTTCATTTGCGTGTGCTCAAACAATAACACCAGAATTATAAAATCAAGATTGATATTACTTATTTCTTTAAAATACCTTCATAGAATTTTGAGTCTAACCATCTATTGTTTTGATATATAGTATCTATGCATGTAATTATTTTAAACATAGGGCAAATGTCTGAGTCCACTAATTCAAACATGTAATTCTTCATATATCCTAATGTTAGATGATTCATAAACTAGCAGTTATGATCAAATTTGATATTTGAAAAAAACAGAAAATTGCTAAAAGGTTTCTTTTTAATTTGTAAAATAATTTGGTGTGTACACAAAGGAAAGTGATGTTAATTTTAAACTCTACACACACAACGAAAATATATTGTGTCCTTAAAAAAAGCTTGAATTTTTTAAAGAAAGGACACAGTGTACTAAATCAATTATATGGAAAGCATCATTGACATTGTTTATGCAATCTCTTATTCCCATAAGATATATTTAGTAAGATTTTCTTATATTCCAATGAATTTCTGTAATCTAAATGATAAGCATGCATATCTTATCTTGTCACATACGCTATTGCTTTTGTTAGTCGTTTTTCTCCTTGATCCGCATTGGTATACATCACACTTAAATTTAATTTGCAAACCCTGCGTCAAATTTCTTTGCATATTTTTACGACCTGGTCATCCGCTATTTTGACAACGTTTAAAAAAACTCCCTAAAATATCATTATTTCAATAAATTTTTGTAAAAATGACTTTTTAAACGTAATGAAATTCTATTTAAACTTGTTTACGTGTTAGACAGTAAACAATGTAATACTAATATATAAAACAAATTAAGACAAGTACTTGTAGAAAAAAGGTTTTAGGTTTTAATATTCATCGGTGGAGAAAGAGTCTACAATCCAATGTCTGTGTATCTTGATTATTAAACTCGATGTGAGTAAATTACATTCGACAGTGTATATCTGGCCTTATGCTCTTTTGTTTACCTCGCACCAACGCAGTATAAGTCAAATGGCGACTTTCCAGGTTTAGGAAGACAGCAAAGCTTGGAAATCGCCATATGACTATACTGTGATGATGTGACGTAAACTCAACTAAAAACATAGGCCAGATATACACTTTAGTTAACAACGTACACATTTGCACTTCAGTATATCTGAACTATAAAGAAAATAAAGTATGAAAGTACCTTGAAAGGAATGAAAGTTTTCTGTGTTTGAAGCTATCATTTTCTGCAGCATCTGTTTAACATCTTTAATTCAAAAATACAAAAAAGGAGAAAACTTATTTTACATCTAGTACTAAATAGGAACACACGACATAATTACATAACTAAATGTTCATGGCAACATAATTAATCGGTTTTCATATGACTGTTTACATCAGGCATTAGATATAGGAACACTGCTGACTGTATGTAAACTTGATATCGTCCACGCCTGACAAAATATATTGTATATTATGATTTTAGTAAGTAATTGACTGAATGACTAATTTCTATGCAAAGAAAATATTATACAGATCAGTAAAATCTATAAAGGCACGATAACAAAGTCCATTTCTCATTTACAACATAATCAATAGAAAAACATCTTATTTGCACTCTAAATGCAGTAACCAATCAATTAGAACAATTTTCATGGTGTAAACAATACCGTTTATAGAATACGCAGAGCTACTTTACGAATTACCTTTCATTTCAACTGCTACAGAATCAACTTTTACTGAAACATCTTTAACAGTAGTTGAAACATCTTCCAATTTTCCCGTGAGTTTGTCCAGCTCCGTTTGAATCTTGTCATCATATTTACTAAATTCCTTTACTCGTTCTGTAGCTGATTGTATATCAATAGGACCTGTGGCAAAATCTTTTATAAAGTTTTGACATTTGTCGTGAACTGACTTGTCTAAACCATTACTCAACTGTATAAGAACAGAAGAAAGTTCTTTTCTGTCGTCATCATATTCTTCTACATCCATGGATAGTGACGATGCATGTGCAAGTTCGTTTCTCAACTCCTTAAGCTTTGTAATACAATTATTCTCATCCTTTGTGAGACTTTTCTTAAACAGTTGAAGAATCACAGTCGATAAAAGTTGTATGTCCCATGCATCTTGATTTGCATCAGGACCAAACACTTTTGGCAATATATGTTTTTCAATCCTCCGGGTTAATGCATTTTTATCAGCATCCAGTAAGTTTCCTAGGGATTTGCTGGATTTAACTGTTTCCCTTTCAAGTATTTCTTTCAGCACAAGCGTCCCTCCTTCACCAAGAAGAAGAATGTAGCGAAGATGTCTCTCGTTACTTATTGTTGCCATCTCATTTACCTGGGTTACAAACAGTATTATAACTTTTTGCCACGTGTTTATAGAATTAAAACAGTCAATAGCATAGGATTCTCGATATTATAGCATTGGAAGCAATAGGCAGGCGATTGTTTTTTTTTTTTTCTTCTTCTTTTGGTGTATGTGTGTGTGTGTGTACGCGTGCGTGCTTGTGCGTGCGTGCTTGTGCGTGCGATCGTGCGTGTGTTTTGTTCTTTGTTTTTTTACACTGCAAAACAACCTTACCTAGTTATTGTTTAAACCCAGAACTCAAATCGATAGGACTACAAAAAATTAAGAGCATTTAACACTAAATCAAAGCTGACACCCGAGATGTTACGCAATTATCATAATAAACATCATTAATCAATAAGGTATAAACTATGTTTTGAATCACAAATTTAAGATTATGCCATTAGAGCCATCTCTGCCGCAAAATTACCTCCTAAGTGTTTTCATTGGATGTCTCTAAACATTGAACTTTCATTCAATCAGAACTTGAAAACACATGGGTCTCTATGAACTAATTTAAAAGTTGCTTAACCCTTTCCCTCATGAGCATATTGTGAAAAATGGCCATTTTCATTGAAAAGCCTCCTGTTACAAGCTCACATGAAAAATGCTTCAATACTAATCAAACTTGGAAGAAATGTTCACTGGGCAAATGCCTTTGTAACAACATGCTCAGACTTAGATTTCCTGTTACCATGGCAACGAGGGGACATCTCAAAATTGCCAATAATCACTATATTGCCTTGATTTTTTTTCCATCAAAATTTATTTCAAAGCGTGCAACTTCTCAAGGGATTGAGATAGAGTCAAAGGTTTTTCAGCGTTGGTTACACGTTACCAAAGGATCGACCTGGGGTCATTTTTAGCCCCATACAATAATCCAAAACTAACTTAGCTTTTAGTATTCTTATACATTTTGTGAGTATTCAACTGTAGCATTAAAGAACCTTATATAAGTGTTATTTGGTCATTTAAAAATTGAAAAATTAAACAGCAATAGATAGCAATTTGAACAAAGATAATCTTAAATTGCATTGTATAATCCAATTAATATCATAGAGCTATAACTTGTGACCTCCAAATATTTTCTATTCATTGATAGGGTATTGAAAGTGTTGGAACTAAATGGAGCATAACATTTCAAGGCTACTGAACATACATGTACTAAAGCTGTTTATAAATGGCGCAATATAATTTTACATTGTATATATCACATTATTATGCATATTATGAGTCTGTTGTAAAAGCTTTAATGTACTTGTAAATAAATTATACAAAAAACTTACCTCAAAGGTATAAATACTTGATATTTTGAAATCGAAAGTGCACCAAATATATCTGCATAATTAATATAGTACGAGATTTATTCAGTTATAACCTTTTAAGAAATCAATAGTTGATTATCAAACTTACAGATGCGAGCAATCACATATTTTTATTTTATTTTACAGTATTGTTCAGTTATATCTGGGACATAAGATATCTTATGTCCCAGCCAGCTTTCGTCAATCTTCGGATATACACCGAACGGATACGGTATTACGGTATAACTACGCTAAACGCTTAACATGTAAACAGACAGTTTGTAAATGTTGAGATTTGTTGAGTTGGTTCATATTCTTTATGTCGTGTACAACTCAACCTTAAATAAGTAATTTTATAGATATTAAAGTAAAAAAAATCGCTACTCTTCCCTCATATCATACGTAATGCACGAATACAACATACCAACGCAACTCGCATAGGTTACACTCAGATGTAAACAGATACAGAGCGTTTGTTTCATTGTATGGTGAGTAAAGACGTTCTTATATCCTCGACCATTTTGCTTCTCAATACACATCTGACATAGGAATGAGACATATTGGAACTACTTCAATCACTTATGATCCCACCATTTTGTTTGATTATGTTATGATGCCAGTTGTAAAATGTCAAAATTTAGTCATTATTTATTGTTATCTATCAATGTTACTCGGGTCAATTGAAAATGAAAAATAGAAAAAGGTATCACAAAAAATACTCTTAATACTGAGGGATATTGTCATTGTTACTTTCTCGTGAACGAACACTTCTTTATACTTTATACGACATCACCACCTACTTTGTATTCTTAGATCCATATTAACTCTTTCCTCAGACATATCCAATGTATATAGGTACTCGGTCTTGTCCGAGTGGCTAATGTAATTAAACTATTCAGTTAGCTAACTGAACGTTGTTGGTTCACTAAGGTGCCCATTCGTGTCTGAAATAATGCACGGAAGGCAGCCGAGGTCTTCGATCACCAGTAAAGCTTGAAAAGCGTTATATGATCTCTTCTGTGTTGGTGCAACGTGAACCTCAACATGTGCATAGATATGATGATATTTCTTTAATTCGAATCTCATTTAAGAGGTAAGATTTTAAAAAGATTTGATCTACAATCACAAATTGTAGTGCAATGTTTTCAATAAAACACTTTATATATATATATATATCGATTTTACTGATAAGAAAATTAAATCTTCAAAACAATGATACATGTCCTTGCGATTATCTTTATTGGCAGATATTCATTATTGACTTATTCAAAATACTAATATGAGATATCTTAAGGGAAATTAAACTTAAGATTTGGTTTCAGGCGGAAGCCAACATTTCTGATTTACGTCATATTAAGATAAAAACGTTCTGCATTTTATTCATATGAAGGATAAGAAAACTGCCTTCAACAAAATGTTAAGTGTAAGGGGATGTCTGACGGCCTAATTTGAATCTGGAAACCGCTTGTTCTGAACTAGTTCACCGATTCACTGAGAAGGGCAGTGTTGTGACGTAATGATAGAGATATACATGGTTATTGTCCTTTACAACATGCGCAATGGTCACTATGGGCAAATACCGGTCATGTATTTTCGTCGTTGGTTTAGTTGATATACCTTCAAAGACAGAAGAATGTTCTGACAAGACAAAGGAGAAACAGTATCTTTTACCTCTATATTTTTTACTGGAACTAGTTAATTGTTATAAACTTTAAGGCATAAATGCGGATAGGGAATGAATACTTCCTCGTGGAATATGTGCGGTTTCTAAACTTGCGATGTTACAAGTAATGGCCTCCTTCGTATTAAATGTTTAAATATGAAAAACGAGATCAACAAGGAAGTGAGCAAGGACACGAGGACCACCCAACACAGGACCACTGGCAAGGAGCCCAGCAGGACGCCAAACAGGACAGGAAACACGGGCAAAAAAACAAAATGGATGCCATTATAAATTATTCCAAATTGAACTCGACGATGGATCTTCAATCTGGCATGGGGTAATGGTTCATATATTTTTGTATTCATGAGAAAAGGTTCATGTTTTAATTCACAAATAAAATAATCCATTAATTTAAAGGCATATCGAAAAAAAGTTAGTGTGATAAATATTGGACAATGATCCAATCTACATAGTATTGTATATCTTAAAAATGATCAGTATATCTTAAAAATGATCAGTTTTGTCTACTGTTTTTCTCTTTTTGTTTAGGATACATGCATTTTTAATTGGTAACCATGCGCCACTTTTCATGGAATGACACTCGTGTGTCACATTTTGAGGGTTCTATGATAATCGCCGTGTGAACACATACTCGGATGGTTCTAGATTCAAAATTTTGCCATTTCGGTGCTATAAGGCGTAAACGGTTATATGTATTGCCAAGTAATGTCCAAGAACAGGCTTCATTATCAATTATATTGCTGTTTTCGGTGCTTTCGTGGGACCTCCCCCTTTCCAGCTTTTCAATTAAACCGAGTCTGTATTTTGTCACCAGACCGAACCTGTATTTTTTTCAATTTCTACGGATTCCCTTTTGTCCTTTGTGACTCAATATATCGAAACAAGCCATAATATGCTAATAAGTAAAAAACTGTAGCAAAGAATTTCAATTAAATTTATTTCATATATTATGATAGTGAACTGACAAAGAAATGATAAGTAACGTTAAAGAAATACTATATACAGGTTTGTGGTTTAATCGGAAATATATGCTTTTCGATTATGTGATGCACAACATAGAGCCTTGAGTAAAACATTTTTTCAATTGCAAACACATATGTCATAATATACCATGTTACTTATTTTTCTATGGCAATCGACATATACATGTTTTGCCAACTACTTGACATTTCTATGATATTGTAGGAACAACCCCATTCTTTACAATACGAAGGTTCATTGAAAGCCGCCCTCCCTTATTGATCTTGTTTTTCATATTTCATAAGAATTCATGTATAGAAAGTATAAAAAAAACATATACCAATATACAAACATCTTATCGTTATCAGTGTTGACCTGTATGCTTCTCTTTACTTTTTATATTTAGATAGTGTAATCAATGAGGACGGGATAGATAATTTTACTATTTGAACAAACTGTGCATCAGATTTTTTACAGCTTAACAGTTCAAACAGTACAAAGTTAAGTAAAATATCTTCAGAAAAGAAATACGGTGGTCTGGTTGTTTGAATCTAGAAGTGATTTCTTGCCAATCAAAATCTTGTCAAAACCTGCTAAAATTGAATTTAGTGACATTGTTTGTCTCCTGATCTCAATGAAGTCATGTTTACAAATAATTCCTTCTGTCCGTATGTATGTGTGTCATTCCTTGTTTCCCAAGAAATCTGTATCTTGTCATAAAAATCTCAAAAGAAAACCTAACACGGCAGAATTGAAAATGTTGCAGGCTCGGTTTGATTGAGCCTTTTCATGGAGCTTAACCGGCTTGAGCAGAATTCAACATTTAACATGAACTGGTACAATTTTGAACTCGAGAAGTACAAAAGCTAGGTATGTAATAATTGGTATATGAACGTGTTCTGCGCCCTGTCCTGTTTTTGTTTGGGGTCCTTCTTGACTCCTTGCCGCTGGTTCTTGTTGCTGGGTCGTGTGGGTCGTTCAATGAACGCCGTCTTTCCTTGTTAATCTTGTTTATCATATTTTAAAAAGATCATGTAAATCATTTTAATTTTTCATCAGAGAAAAAATTGGGTTGTAATGGTTATTGAAATAGTAAATTCATTACATGTAATATCGAATGCCTCACAGAGGTCCTGAGTTTACTAAAACAGTAAACATATTTTTATGTACAATTATGTCAGTTTCCATAAAATTGCTCAAGTATGGTTACTTCCAAGCCATGTGTACACTTCAACGAATTTCAAATAGGTCTCTTTATAAAATATGGTAATTTGTGAGTGTCTTTAAGATCCTATATCATAAATATGATGCAAATTAAGATTTATCAATTTTGTAAGTTCCAAAAAGCATTATTAATAAAGATATTACCGAACTTAACATTTCATGTAAATAAAAGGAGGTAATAAAAAATTAATTGCTATAAAATCTAAGACAAATTTTTCAATAAGAAATGAATGCATATATTTAATTGATTACATATCATAGTATAAGTATTGTATCTCAACTCGATACTATCAAACCAAAATCAAAAATGGCATAACATCATTTTGCAGTTTTTGTTTTAAGAGTGGTCATGCTCTGTTTTGCTTGTTACGGTTAATAAATTGCAACGAAGTTTATTGTTTCAAAGATGAGCAATGAATGAAATTAGACGCATATTTGGTTATTTATATTTTAAACAACTATCTGTAAGATGTTATAAAAAGTAGGTGGCCAAATCGTTGAAGTGTATACCCAAACAATCTGATACAAATTTTCTGCATTACATCGATAGAGAACTGCTGCCTTGTCTGTAGCACGCTCTTGTTTCTCAAAGCTTTTCTTTGGCTTCACATATTACAAACGATACTCTTTGGCCAATTTAATTTAGCTAAACCATCATTTCCTTTTTGTAATAGGTAAAGTTATAATGTATGTTACTTTGTATGGAAGACAAACTACCACTTAGTTTAGGTTTTGCTACTTTTGTGACAAATCATTTCACATTTAACCCTGTTTTCATCGCGTGAAAAGCAGCTCATACTTTTAAATAATCTACCAAGTCAATTCCAAGCGACGACACTGCTAGGCTGTAATTATGAGTCAGGGTCACCATTTTAACTTTTCCAGGACCATCTCATTAATTTGATACGTATGATATAATTATGTACATGTATGTTATGGAATGAAGCAAATGCCGTATGTAAACTGTATTTGTTTATAATTTCAGTATGATTGGACCTGTATTGATATATGAGACTATTCATATAAAACGCTTATAAGATTTGTTAGGTGTGTGCCAAAACAGTATATAACACAGTGCTTTTAATCAGTGTTACAAGTTATCCTTTACTAGAACTTGTGTCTTTGATGAGAACTATATACCGGAACTAACTCCTGGTAATCTAATGGCAATAATATTTGAGAAACACTGCAAGAACAACTATAGATAATTACACTATAAAAACAATCGGGCTTGTCTTCAGAAAAAAAATG